CTCTTCCAGAGAGGCTGTTGGGAGAAGCCAAAGCAAGGCCTTTCAAGGCTTGAGGTGGGCAAGTTCTGAGTTAGACTGCTACTCAGACTTTTTGGGCCAATGTCTGAGGATGTCACAGCAAGGGTTAACCCCTCGCCATATGAAACTCTCCACTATGGGCATAAAAGGAAGCAAAAAGAGTGGTCAAAATAGATTCTGCCAAGTCCACACATTCAAGCTCATCTACTTCCTCATTGGAGGGGCCCTTTAGCTCTCAGATCCCACAGCCTCTTCCTCCATTGCCAATTCTAACTCACTTGTTTTGCTGTTTCCAAGCCTGCAGAGGATCTCAGGGGCTGCTGGAGAAGCGGTGGTCTTATTGTATTGACAAGTTTTGATTGGGAACCTAGTGTGGAAAAGGAACTGAAAATCTCTAAAGATCAGACATGGGCTTCCCAAGATGCTCCTTCATATGTGGACAGGCAGTCCTCATGGGCCCCAGTGGTGGAGCAGGAAGCTGACATGTGACTGGCTAAGGGAACAGGCAGCTCTGTCCTGCATGAGCTGGCTGAAGGGCCCAGGAGGCTCTGGAGAGCACTCAGGGTCACTAGGGCCCGGTGGTGATCCTGCCACAGAGCTGTACTCTTTGCTGAGGCAATGGAAAGCCAGGGGAAATTCCCCAAGATTTGCATTGTATTTTCTAAAGATTTGGGGATAAAGAACTTCCCTCAGGTTCCTCAGGAACCTAAATATGGGGTGTTTCCCAGCTTTTCTTGATCGTGGAGTATTATAAAATCTAAGAATTGAGATTTGGAATGAAACAGGAGAGAAGAGGTCCTCAAGCTCTGGAAATGAGCTAGAAGGAATAAACCCCGCTCACCCAGCGGTCAGAGGGTCAAGGACATGGCTTTAGTGAAAACCTGGCTAGCTCCTTACTAACACGTTCTTTAACCTCTCACTTTGACCCTCAGTTTTCCAACCTTCAGAATAGGTATTATTTCTACCTTTGAGATAGAAGGATTGGGAACATTAAGATGATGCATATGAAGTATTTCACACAGAGCCTGGCATAGAGGGGAAGTTCAGTATATGTAATTCCCATTCTCTTTCTAAAGTGACTTTAATGAAGATAAACTCTTGCTGGCCTAGAATAATAATTCAGAAGTCTGGCTGGAGTTGCTAGAATAAGGTCCCAAGAAAGCACAACGACTTTCCTTGGGAGTAGCCTAAAACTGCCGGAGCCCCAAAGACAAGATGAGGGAAATGGATGGGAACTAAGAATGCACAGTAAAGAGTTTACAAGCCTGGAGTCTGTTCAAAATCTGCACTGGCCCCTGACTCCAACTCTTTCTAGTTATGTGATCTTGGGCCAGTTAATTAGAGTCTCTGTGCCTCCGTTTCCTCATCTAGAAAACCGCAATAACAATGGTATCAACATTTCAACATTGTTAGGCGCATCAAGTGGGTTAATATCAAACCTCTAAATGGCCCAGTACAGTAAAGTGCTCTTTCAGTGTAGACTTTTGACTTCGTTAAGTACACACTGTCCCTGGGGTTGAGGGAGACCAGCAGGTGAGTAATGGGCAGGTTCTAGAGGGATCCATGGGGTACACTCTCTCTCTCATTGTGTGCCAGCTACATGACCTGAAGGGATTTCTGTACCTTCTGTATCTAAACGTTCTCATCTGTGAAAAGTGAAATGCTAATAACAGTACCTCGCTCAGAGGCTGTTGTTGGGACTAAATGTGCAAAGACCTATGAAGTGTTTGGGAAAGCGTCATGGCCCCTTGCAAGTACTCCGTACATGACAGCTATTATTATTCCCTGTCTGAAAAGGACCTTGAAGGCAATATGGTACCTACTTGTTTAAAGAGCCATTGATTCTAAAAGATTCTCTTTTCTTTCCACAGTTTTGAAGGGTTTAAGATTGAATTTTAGAAAGGAAAGTGTGTCAATCTGATAGAATTCTGTCTCTCCCTTGAAGAGAAAAACAGCTCTGCAGCTTTCCAACACTGTCCTCAAGTCCCTTCTTCCATCCTACACAGAATGGGGAAGAACCCCTGAGGGCTACAGAACCACACTCCAGTCTCCACACAGGATGACCCTCACCATGCATTTCTAACAGAGGAACTTGAGGTGTTTCCAAGTGCAAGGGACCGGGATCACGAGGCAGCCACATTTTCCACTGCCAATTTGTGATCAGCTCTAGGTAGGGACATTGCCTTATACCTTAACTTGCTTTGGGAATTTTAGGGGAACACTTTAAGAATAGTCCTCTAAAGGGAAACAGAAACTTTCCAACTTGAGGCAAGGAACTTATTTTTCTATCCTTTGGTGTTGTTTCCCTAAAGACACTGCAAATTGAAGAACGAGGGGCTACTAATCCTACTGCGATTAAGTAAGTTTTGCTATTGCCAGAAGACAAAAGCTGGATCAGCACTAGACAAATGTTCCAGAGGGGTGGTGTCTCTTGGTTATCTTTTCCAGTCTGGTCTTTCGCCTGGAAGAGAGCTTAGCACATGTGTTAGACAAATGTAAGGTATGTTCCTAGGAGGAAAGAATCAGTGTACTAGACAAAGAACTTCTAAATACTGACCCTTAACTCTCTCAAAAACATAGATAACAAGTGAAGATGAGGAGCGGGATGGTGATAGCAATGGGAAAGGTAAGTAACTAAGCAGCAGCAGCAGCCAATAGAAGGGAGAGACATGGAGTGAAGATACCACAAATACTTAACCATACGAACAAACTCTAGGCCCAGGATTCCATCTGATAATGTGGGTCATCCTGACTTACACCTTCACATATCACAGTAGAGGCAAGGGGTAGTCAAGGACCTAAGCACCTCTCAACACAAGTTCCAAATTCTCAGAATCATAGACACTTAGAGCTGAAATAATCCTCAGAGATTACCCAGTGGGGAGCACCAGCCCTTCTGTACTACCCCTCAATCTCTCTGTGTAAATGCCTCCTGCGACAAGAGACTCATGACCAGCTGCAAAGCTCCTTCTCTGGTCCACTTCAAACATTTCAAAGTCCTTCCTAACCATGTACTCAGCTGAAGTCTGCCTCTCTGTGATGCTTACCACTTCTGTCTTCTATCTTCCAGGGTTCACATGATATTTTCTGGTAATCTGCTGAGCTACAGGGTCCATGATAAGTGCACCCTGGGCTCCAGGGTTGACCTGACATTGTTCTTATGCAGGTTCAGCTTTGTGACCACTGGCAAGTGACCACTGGCAAGTCACTTAATTTCTCTGTGCCTTAGTGACTTGTTGTCTACAAAATGCAGATATTAGTAGCTGTGACCATGTTAGTATTTATGTGGAGGATTAATCTTGAAGATTAAATGAGATAACCTACAGAGGTGCTGAAATTGTGGGATAATTTGCCAGCACCTTCAAGACAAAGAGTGGATCTTATTCATCAGTACTTGTTCACCTTGCACAGGGTGAGACTGAGTATTTGTTCCAAACAAATATTTACTAGATGACTAAATAATTAATTGGCTCTAGCTCTATTCTGGTATAAATTCCTATGCCTGATAGCATGTTTGTGACAACCCTCTTATGAAAACCCACCTCCCTACTCTTCCCCTGCCCCAACTTAGTCACTATTTATTACTACTTAATGCCACTTCTCTTTCTAAGGTAGGAAGAGAACACATGGCTTGTTGAGTCACATGGTGAAGGCAGTTGCTGTGTGCTCTTTTCCTATAACCAACGTTATAAAATATGATTGATGGGCAGCAGCTAATATGATAAGAACATGAGGCAGACTCAAGCAACCAGGAGAAGGGAAGCTCTTCTGGAGAAACTAGATCAGAGAGCAGGATGAGATGAGATGAGGTGGGAACAGACAAGCCCAGGAGGAGGGAGATCAAGTCACTAGACTAGGTCCCAAGTCCAGCTGAGGAGATAGAGCCCTCTGGAATGTCAGCAAAACACTGTGAGCACAACTGAAATAAAGTAAAACCTCTAGCCACCAACCTGAAATGGCACTACCTGGGGAATGAAGAAAGACACTAAAGGAAAACTTTACTGGATCTGGGGTCAAAGCAAAATGCTCAACTAGGAAATTAAATATAACGAATTGCTTGTTAAAAGTTCAAAGCACTTCAAAGCAATCAATTCATGCCAGTCCCACCCCTGCACAAAGTCAATAGCTTAAATCTAGCTCAATTCTGGGCCCAGGACTCCTAAGGTAAACGCCAGCGTTTCTCGAACTATAGAGGACAGACCAAGATCCTGCTCTGTTCAACATTACAAGTGAAAGCAGAAAAGTAGGTGAGCAAGTTTTGACTGAAAACAATTTCTAAAAATCCGCATTGCATTCCACACGGTGGGGGGCGGGGCAGCCCCAGGGTTAGGGTATCCTTTGCATGGGGCTTTCTCCTAATATTTGGTGTCTTTCCTCCCCACTGCTGCACACGGGATGACTGGCAAGGCACACCGTTGAACGACTCCAGAACAGCACAGAATAGCTCCCTCACAAGCCTGCAGCGTCCTGGGGGAGAGCAGAGCCGCTCCGCGGCCTTCACAGGCGGGGGTAGAGGGCCGGGGGGCGGGGAGAAGATTGCTTATTTATTTGTTTCCTGGAACACCCTGTTAAGAATCTCAGCAACTGCAGTTAGTGCCCGATCGTTTGGCAAGCTGAGTAGCAGCTTCTCGCCGTTCCCAGCTGCACGGGATCTAATTCGCAAATACACCATCTTGCATTCAACACTTAAATGGAAAACAAGCCTCCCGGGAAGGGAGGGAGGAGGTCTAACTCTGCAAGCCCGTTTCAGAGGAATTTATGTTTCTAGGTCGATTGACTGGTTGGTGCGGTCCCCGAGAGGATTTCTCTGAGCGCCCACCCTCTCTTTTCGCTAAGAACCCACTCAGGTGGAGGTTAAAACTGCAATTAAACATGGAGAGAAATCGGGATTTGACTGGGCCTTAGGCCTTGCTAACATAAAATCTGTAACTAAAATCTATTTGAGAGCTCAGATTTTAGAGAGAGATACTGCTTATTCTTACCCATTGGAAACCTGGTGAAAGGAAATTAAGGCCTCTCTTAAAGGTAACTAAGATTAGAGGGCTCGTTTCCGTTTTCTGTGTTTCTGTGGGCCGCACGCCCAGGTCAGTGAGCGAGTTTCTCTCTTGGTAGAATGACGAATTCCTCTCGCCTGAATTCTAAAATGATAACTTTGCTCGGTGCTGCAGCTGCGAACGTCTGGCGCCCAGCGGACCAATCCTGGCGTTGGCGTTTGGGGCGGGGTGGGGGGTTGGGGCGGCGGGGGAGAAGTGGGGGTGAATAGGGAAGGGGAGAGAGCTGTGCTTGGATGAAAAGTTAGAAAAGCTGCGAGGAGAGCAGTAACGGTGACTTCTCGCGGCCTCGGCGCCTTTAAGTGCTTCACTGACTCAGCTAAGCTTCCCCCTCGGGTCGCGTTTTTTATGAATGAAAAACGTCCTTACATTCATTATATAAACAAGCCTGTGCTGATTGGCCAAAGGCCCCCGGTGCATAAATTATGTAAAACAGGCCCCTAAGGGGGCGGGGAGAGACGCGCGATTGACCAATGGAGGCCAGAGTTGATGGGGCGGCTTGGCTGGATTTGCCCTCAGAGAGGGTAAACAAGAGGTGATGGACAGTCTCGGGAGCCGCTTCGGGCCAATGGGAACGTGGCTGAGCTAGGACCGCGGGCCAATGGCAGCAGGCGGAGCAGCAGGCCGCGGGGGGCCGGGCCAGCGCTCTAGCCTGGTTGGCAGCTTCGGCGCAGAGTCCAGCCGCTGGTGCGCGGAGCGGCGGTTCAGCGTCTCCAGGAGCGGTTCGGCCCAGTCATTCGCCTAAGCGCCCAGGCCCGGTGCGCGCGTGCGTGAGCGCGCTTGCGCCCCGGGGCCGCTGCAAGGGACAGAGAGCGGCTGCCTCAGGTGAGGGGGCGTCGAGGGGGCACCGTGGTCTCGGAGGGGATGTCCAGGAGCCGATCCGGAGGGCGCAGCCGGCGAGAGTTCACGAACTGCTTCGGAATCCTCCAAGTCGTGGTGCACTTTATATCTGGGCTGAGCCCCGCGGGACTGACCGCCTCTCCTCCCTCGGGCCCGGTTCGGTTCGGTTCCTGGGAGGTGTCGGGCGGGGGCGGCTAACGGTTCCGGAGCGCGCAAAGAGCGGGTTTCCGCACGTCGCGGGGAGGCGCGTGGGAGCGCGGGGTGCGGGGCTCGGGGTGGAGATGGGGAGGCGGTGCGGAGTTGCGGGGCTGTGCAGCCTCTGGGGACCGGAGCGCCCCTAGGGCACTTGGAGACTCGCGAGAAGAGGAGCTTGGCAGAGCTTTCCTGCGGGGAGGAGGGGGCGGGAAGCAGCTAGCGGGGGAGTGTTTGAGAGGTGATCCCCTCCCAGCACCTGGAGGGGTTAAGTGACACAGGCATGTGCAGCCTGCAGGGTTGGGGGTCGGCCGGGAACTTACGCGGGCCTTGCAAGTTTCGGGCTATGGAAAGTGGACACTCAATCCCCCACTCCCACCCCCAGCCCGCTGAGGCGTCAGGCTGCACCCGAGAGCATCAGAACGGCGGCCGGGGCTGGGGAGACGCTGAAGTCTCGCTCTGGATTTGAGATCTGACCGCATTTTCAGAGGGGAACCGAACTCTCGGCCAGGGTCGGGGGTCGGGGGAGCACCGTGGAGAGAGTCTTGGTGGGCTGGGGTGGGGAGGAGGGGAGGAGAAATTGGGGGCGGTTGATAACACACGGCGCCTCAGCTCGTTTTATGAATGTGGGTGACTTTATGAATGAAGCGGGTTTCTTTCCTTGGCTTGCCGCTCCCTGCGGCTTTTTTTTTTTTTTTTCTTTCCCTTTTTGTGAATGAAGCATTGAGCTTTCTTCCTAAAACGCTGGGGTGAGGGGCCTGCGTCGGAGGCTGGGCGTGCGTTGGGAGCGGGGGCGGGGGCTCATCTGACGGAGTTTTCATGAATGGGGAAGGCTGGGAATTGGGTGGAAGTGTGTCTTGTTTTGTGAATGGGGCCCAGCGCGAGGGATCCAGTTACAGCCTCTACCTGATGTGGCGGCCGCGGCTCGCTCTCCCATTCATAAAACCAGGCCCGCTGCGCGCCTCGGGGGAGGGGCCTCGATCCCGCTGCAGCGCAGTGTTAAAGTTTTCCTGGGGTGCGCCGAGAGGGGGGGCCGGGGGCGGGGCGGGAATAAAGGAAGTGGTTTAAACTCCTGAATGAACTCGAACCTTCCCTTCAGGCTTAAAAAAAAATATGCTTTGAACAGGATTTTTCACGCCCTTGAACACTGAGGGCTGCTTTAAAGATCCTTGATGCCCCTTTTAGGTTCTCTGGTGGCAGCTTTTACTTCATGTTTTTAAAAGATATTTTTGCTCTTCTTGGTGAAGTATTTTTGCAATGTATCTCGTCGTGAGGCTCTGAAAATAACTCCCTCTCCGATGTCCTACTCGTGGTCCCCTTCCCCCATAGACTTTTATAGAATTTCTAAGGCCATGATTTAATGACAGAATTTCAAAGGCCGTAAGAGTTTTCATGCCCCTCAACTCATTGCTGAGGTTTCTGAGCTTGTATACCGCTTGTTGATATTCTAGAAAGAGGCTTTGTTCTGCACTTTTTAGCTCTGTTTGGAAGACTAGTCTGTTTTTCTAGGAAGTTAGGAGTTATGTGTAGTTTTGCTCTTTTTGACTTTGAAAATATCTGATTACATGGGTCAGAACGCCGAGAGGACGCTGACGGTGAAGGATTTCCTTGTATCCTGCTCACTTAGAAAATTTGATATGCCCCCCCCCCCACACACAGTGTGAAAAACAATTTGAATGGAATTGCTCGCTAAAAAGGTGCTTATTGAAAATGTCTGTGCACTTTAAAACAGAATTATCCTTAAACATTTTGCATTGTTTTGAATTGGGTTAAAATTGTTTTTCCCATTTTGTTGACAAAACTGTGGCTTTGTGTGAAGAAAAAAAAATGTTCAGTAAGATGTTACCTTTCTAAAATTGTTACTTTATTCTTCCTAAATTAGAAAAAGTTCTCTCCATTTTGACCCCCATCCTCTCCTCCCAACCCCAACACCTGGACAGTATTGAAACAAGCTTATTTTTTAGTGTGTTTGAGAAAAACTGACTTCACTCTGAGAATCAAACTGAATTTTCTTTCCATGGATCTTTTGCTTTTAATTAAGATCTGTGATAGAGATGCATTTAAAATATGTGCAGTAGAATTCAGTTTCCACTAAATGGGATTTATCCATTACTTTACAGAGCTATTTTATTCTTTACAAGTTGGACATAGCATAGATATCTGTGAATGTTACCATGGAGCTATTTGTGACATTATATATGCCATACCTCTTTGCATAGAAGGTTAGGTTTTAAAGAGTTGTGTGATGAGTACACCTCTGATCAATATATTCCTGGATCTATATATAGTGTCTTAACCATTGACCTACAAAATACTATCAGGAACACTATGTATGTCAGATTCTTAATTGGCAATAATTTGGAATGCTTAAACCTAGTTTTTCTATTTCCTGTCACTGTACTGTAAAAAATTACCTTTCTAAAAAAAAAAAAAGCCATAACACCACAAATCTTGAAATCACCCTTTTATAAGTGAAAGTAATGCATTTTAGTAGGAGACAGAAAGTAGCAAACCTCTAATCTTAATGGTTAAAAGAAGAAGAAGAAAAGAGAAAGGAAAGGATGACTAGGTCAGCGGATTTGGCGTTAAGTACATTATGAACCTTGCTGCCCTTCATCAAGCCCAGAGTTAGTCTGTAAAGTTTACACCTTGAGTGGGCTTTAAGTACCTCAGAGAAAGGTAGTGATTTTGCCCCAAAAGAGAGCAGTATACACTTACTTCATTTTTTCTAACTACCTCAATTAAAATCTCCCAATTCCTATTGCAGGAGGACCCCTTTTCCCCCCAGAAATTACTCAATGCTGAAACCTTTCAAAGTGATATTAGAGAAGTTGGAAGCACCATGGATGGGTTTTATGATCAGCAAGTCCCTTTTATGGTTCCAGGGGTAAGTTTATGTGACTTCTGGTTTTTTTATCCTCCTTTCAGTGTGTGCCTTTTCCTTGCTGGGTTAGTGGTAAGGCCCCTTTTTGATCCCTTCACTACATTTGAGTCTTTTCTATCTATTGGTGTCTTTCAGAAATCTCGATCCGAGGAATGTAGAGGGCGGCCTGTGATTGATAGAAAAAGGAAGTTTTTAGACACAGACCTGGCTCATGATTCTGAAGGTAGTGACGCTTTCCCCTCTGTGTCCTGGCTTCCTCAAATGGCTTCCAGTGAAAGCAGCATGCATGCAGATTCTTCTCCATTAACAGTCATTCTCATTCTGGTGTCTTCTGTTTTCAATTCCAGAGTTGTTTCAGGATCTCAGTCAACTTCAAGAGGCTTGGTTAGCTGAAGGCAAGTTTCTTGGCTGTCCTATTTTTCATATAAAACATTTTACTGTGCTTTTTAATAAAATTTAAAGGCCTAAAATTAAAAAAAAAAAAATCTCTTTTCCAGCACAAGTTCCTGATGATGAACAGTTTGTCCCAGATTTTCAGTCTGATAACTGTAAGTACCTTTCTGGTAGTGGCTCATTTGTTCTGAAATTATTTGGTCTTGTATCATCTATGTCTAAATACTATTTTCAGCTGTAGCCAGCATCTTTAGTCATTGGAATGCATTTTGGGCTTTTTTTAATAATTCAGGAATTTTTGAATTTTATTATAATGACTTTTTTCATTCCTTATTAAAATCATCTCTAAAAGTGCTCTAGTTGTAAAAAATAAAGTGCTCTAGTTCTATTGCATGTAAAATTTACTGAACATAATTTCTTCCTGAATTTCTTTTTGCCTTGGAATATTACAGGGCTTCAAGCTCAAAATTAGAAATTAATATGACGTACAAAAGATGATGGGCCAAACATCCATGAATCAGATATCATCTTACAATGTTTTTTGTTTTATAAATTAAGTCCTTGATGCAAATTGTGAGCCTGACATTTTTTTTCTTTTAAAGGTGCAGGAAATAGTTAATGGAAGATTCCAGTTAATTTTGGTTTCACCTGACATGTCCATTTTGTTTTTACTTGTAAGCTGACAAGGGGTGTCACAGAGTGACCTGATTTACTCTCATTTTTCATGTGATTAAGTGCTCATATCGCTGAGATAACAAATGCAAGTAGGAGCTCAGAAGCTGGCTCTCAGTGCTGGCAGGCGCTTGGGGAGCTTTGCTCTGATCTTTCGGGCTGTCCTCAACAGGTTTGGGAGCTTTTATGGTCCAGGCAGAGCTATCAAGGACAAAGCTGGCTGATGAAATTTGAGTAGTCCAGGGCAGCTCTAGAGAGCATTAGTCACTGGCGAATGAGCAGGTTTAAGAGAGGCTGGAGAAAATGCTGCCTCTCTTGAGGGTTGCATCATAGAGAAATTCATGTCTCTTAGTCATAGTTTATAATAGCAAGCACCTGAGCCAGGCAAAGATTCAATTTCTCATTTTGCACCAACAAATTCTTCCCAGTTTTGTTGTGTGTGGGGTGTGTGTGTGTGTGTGTGTGTGTGTAAAAATGCCACTGGATAAGAGGATCTCTTTGGGACTAAGTAAAAGCTGGGTGATCTAAATCATTAAATGAAAGAACAGAGGTACCATCTAAATATTCTTTAATGATAGGCCTCATCCCCAAGGCGCAATGCCATGAAACTTTAAAAGGCACTAAACTGTAATCCACAGATGCATGGCTACCTTAGCTTTGTCACAGCTTGCTGTGGATGTTTTCTATAGGAAAGTAAATGTGTGTTAATTATTCCCCTTTGATTGCTTTCAAGTGATTGGGAAACTTGCCACCTAAAGGCTAAATAAAGATAACCCAAGTTGTGTGTGTGTGTGTGTGTGTGTGTGTGTGTGCGCGTGTGTACACGCGCGCTATCCTGCCTGTGTGCCTGTGTCTGTGTGTCTGTGTTTGCAAGATAAAAGACAGGATTTGTAATCCCACTTTGTTCTGTGTTGACAATTTGGCCCAGCCTTTCCATTTCTTGCTCAAAGCAGCATAAACTGCAGTCTGTTTGGGAGGTGGCTTTCTTGGCAGAGGTTCTTTGAAATGCTTTTATGACACTTTGTTTCTCTGTAACCCAAAAGAGTTAAAAGGGAGGTGAGATGACTGCATTCAAATTGATTTCATGTGCTAAAGCAAAGGTATGTTCTTTAGAGAAAGATGTCAGCAAATAGGATTTATACTTGGAGAGAAATGTATCTGCAGGAATAGGCTAAAGTGAAAGAATCAATAAATGTGTTTTGGCTCCTTAGAAATAATTCCTGCTTAGCAAATAGAATATGCTAAGTTCTTTAATTAAAATGCTGTACCTAAAATGGAGGTGCTCTGGGAGATGTTTCTGCTTACCAAGTGTAATGTGTTTTTTACTTTATTTGCCTTTTGCTTTAGGTTCTTATAGTTGAGCTTTCTGTCTTTTAAGGATAAAATATATGGTAGCATAGCCTGGTGAAGTCTTTTAATAATTCTCTTCCCCTCTCTGACTCTTTTCCTGGAAATGGAGCTTCAAGAAGGATAGATTCAAAGATCACCTTGTCTTAGAGGTTAGGTAAGAACACAAACATGAGGTGGTATCTCCTTGATATATTCAATCTTGTTATTTGTGACTGATTTAACTAGAGTTGAGAATGACAGGGTAGCTACCCTGGAGCTGGCGGAGCTGAGCCCAGAAAGGGGCAGATAACTTCTGTTGTGAATGTCTCTCATAGACTTGCATTGAGGGTCAGCTTCTTCTCCAGTCACCTTCTGGAAGAGCCCATGACTATTCCAAAGGAGAATAGTCATTCACGTTGAATGGAGAGAAACTCATTCACGTTAATGGAACCTTAAATGTTGGTTTGAATCACCCAATCAATGAACTATAAAACAAACTTATACTTGCCCAATAAAGTAAACCATTTCCCTACAATAGCAGAAATGTGCTTAACAACATTCTTCTGTGGTCTGCTACTGGTAATCTACTTTTCCTAGTAACTATGTGATTAATTTTCCATCTTGTACATATGTGTGTGTGCATGCTCATGAGAGAAAGAAGTAAGTAATGTGGGTTGTTTTTATTTTAGAATTTTAGCTTTCAAGATTATAGCTTACTTTCTGTGGTAAGTGCTATAAACTCAACTTCTAAAAGCGATTATATTTTGTAAGTTTTGCAGATTCATGTTCCTCCTCTACCTGGGAATTCTTACAGGTGAGATTCAAGGTAGTGGAAAGTGCAACCCATAGACCATAGGTGGTTGTGCCAGTGCCATCAATTAGCATTTAGTCCTAAGGTGTAACCCTGCAGATCTCAGATTGTTTGAGCTGGCAGTTTCTTATAAAGAGAGTCTTATCCAACCCTTCATTTTACAGAGAAGGAGATAGAATGTCCAGATTGCTAGTGAGGTTGACTAGTGGTTTGGGGCAAATGAGAAGGGTTGGGTGAAATGAGAAACAAAATTATCCCAAAATACTATCCTTAAAGAAATTCTCACCAACCTGTACAGCCAAGGGAACATGTGTATCTGCTGAGGTGTGCCCCAAGCTGCCCCCCATCATTTCATCTACCTAGATGTAGTCTTCAGAAATGCCTTAGGAAGACTGTGGGCCACCCAGGCTAACACCTCATTAGTCTTTATTATGTGATCCTGAAAAAGTTATTAAATATCTTGGTGCAATGAGTTTTTCTAGCTAGGATTTGGAAGAGAGAAATTGTAAAATGGGGACATGGTTTCTACCAGACATCTTAAATGTGTGTACACATAGGAGTGTGTGTGTGTGTGTGTGTGTACATATATATATATATATATATATAAATATATAAATATATATATATATATTTATATATATATATAAATTCTGTCTATTGTAAATAAGTTTGGATCTGTGGATATAGCCATGTAAATGTGCATGTAGCTAAATACATATATTAACTCACAGAACAACCAAACGAGAGAATCTGGATAATAGGTCGATGTGTACCATCTTGATTACGCATTTTCACAGAATTAACTACCAATCAAAAGCATGGATCAGATGGGAACTGAAAATGTTTAGATTTGGAGAGGCGGGGAATTTACATTCAAAAAAAAGGTTTTAAGTGACTGCTTGAGTTCCTAAGGGGATTACTAGATTTTAGAGTATATAACTATTGTAAATTGACTCACTTTTTTTTTTAAAGATTTATTTATTTATGCATACAAGAGCTGAGGTACAGGCCAGAGATGCAGAGGGTGAGAGGATCTGCCAGAGACAGTGTAGGGAACAGAACAGGCAGATTGATTGAAATATACTGCTGAGGGGAGCAGCGGGCAAGACAGGAGAGGTCTGCCTCGCCGTGGGTTTCTCCCTGGCCGGCCAGGGATCGAACTCGTGCTGCAGAGGCTGTGGATTGCTTCATAGTGTGGTGCGAAATCCCTTGCGCCACGAGGGAGGCCCTGACTCACTTTTTTAAGTGTGGATTTTGATTCTGATTTTTTTTTTTAAATCATTCATTTAAATGGCAATATTATGAGTGCTGGCTTGTCAGCATCTTGAATAACTAGAATACTTTATGCGGGAGAGAATTCATGATAAAATCTTATTTTAAAGCCATGACCTCCACACCAAATATAATTTAAGAGAACTGTTCTAAAATCCAAATGACCTTATACTTCCCTCAAGTGTTCCTTTTATATTCGTGTTTCAAAAAAGGAATGGACCAAGTAGAGGAAGTAATAGTAATTTCCTAAGGACTGGCTAATTAACTGATAAAATCGACTTTTTATAAATACATTGCAATAGATGGCTGGGGAAATAGGATTAAATGTTATGACAGCCCTTGAGCCTAAAACACATTGATCTTAATCCTGTTTCAACATGAGATTGTCAGCTGGATTTTTTTTTTTCTTTACCTGTTTGGGTGACACTGGAGTGCAGCAGTGCATTTCTTTGGGAGAGGGCATATTATTTAAGACCCAGGTGTGATATAGCAAAACCCTATGTTTGCTTACCCTGCTGGTCTTGGACCATTTCTATTTGAAAAAACTCATCCTAAAGTCTTTTTATTATGGAAAGTAAGAAAAAAAAATAGGGCATGCTTTAATAATAAGAGACTTGAAGAAATCAAGGCTATCAGTTTATCCTCTTTAAGTGCCAGTAGTTAGGGAGTAGAAAGAAGCGTGCTGAAGGAGGGGAGAGGTTATTTGACTCCAGGTTTTACAGTGCGACTTTCAAAGTCTTTGTTAGCTAGTCCACTACCTAACCACTGACAGGGTGCTAAAGGATTTGAAATCCTTCCTGTTTTGATAGCTTCCAAGAGCCTTAAACACCTTACACTTAAGGACCCAAGACCTAAAGTTCCCATTTATGTAAAAGAAGTATATGTTTACACAAAATCTGTTTTCATCTAACTTTCATTCAGTTAGGCTTGTTAAAAACAATAGCTTTTTCTCTTACCCTCTCTTTGCTCTTAGTCCCCTAATAAAGCCCAGTAACCTATCCAGTCCTTTGTGTTTGGTGATGAAGAGCTGGGCTAGGGACTTATATTGCCAGGCAAAATGCTTATGTAAGC